AGCCCCGGGCTCGGGGCTCCGGCTTCCACGTGCGTCCCGCGGGTTTAGAGCAAGAAGCACAGTCCGCGACCCCCGGGCGCTCCCCGTACCGGGCTCCCTCAGCTCGGCGGCGGCTTCGGGGCCGTGAGGGACCCGGGGTCCTTGGCTTTCTCATCCCATGAGGGCGGGCCCAGCTCGCCCCTCGGAGCGCGGTCCAGTGTTCCAGGGTAGGGGAGTCCCCGGCGCGCGCTCCTGCACCCGGACTCTCCGCAGACGCTGGCGAGCTCGGGGGGCGAGGCGGTGCTCCGGCGCCCCCCCCCCCCCCNCCCCCAAGCCGACCGCGCCGCGGGGCGGTACCTAAACGCAGCGCCAGCTCTAGAGACGCCGGGAGAGCCCCGAACCGGCCAGGAGCGGCCACTGCGGCCGATGTGCGCGCGTGGAAGGGGGCTGGGCGTACAGCCCCCCGCCCCCGCCTCCCCGGTCCCACCTGCCGCGTCGCTTGCTGCTGTCTGCAAGAGAGATGAGAGCGGAACTGTGGGGTCCGTTCAAGCTCATTAAATCAGCCCCCTTCACTCCAACTCTTAGCTAAGTTTTATTTCGTAACTCAAAGCAGCCCCCGAGCCCCAAGTGGGAAAACTAGTTCTCCCGATTCAGTCTGCACCTCTGCCGCAGCATCTAACGAGGGGTTCACTTCGCGGCTGCTACTCCGCGTGAGTGACGCGGCCGCAGAGGCCCGGGGGGCTGCGGCCTCGCGCTTCCTTTGTGTCGGCGCCCCTCGCTCCCGCCGCCACCGCCGCCCGCCTCCCGTGCCCGGCCGATGGACGCCAGCCGAGCCCCCGGAGGACTCTGGACACCAGCCTTGGACGCCTAAAGTTTTCCCTTCTTTTTGTTTTATTATCATCCTTCTCATTTTTGGAGGAGGGGACGGGGCTGCAGATTCGTCGCCGCCACCAACGTGAGATTTTTTTTTTTCCCTCCCTTGAAGGATTCCTGCTGATGTCTGCAGAGTCGGTTAGAGTAAAAACAGCGCATGCCTTCCTGGAGTCAGGATCCGTAAATTCTGACGTAGCCCGTGCATCTTAAAAACCCCTATAATAACGCCTAGGCATTTAAGTTGCTATGGTCATTCTGGTCGCAAGCCTAATGGAGAAACTCCGGATTTTTTTCCCTCCCTACGGTCGGATGAGATGAAGACCTGCCTGCCTGCCGAGAGCTGGGGATCTGTGTGTAGAGATACATAGATACGTTTATCAATATGTCAGTGTGCGAGTATAAAGTGGTGCTTGCTTAGACTATCCGCGGTTTGACCTTGAACCTGAGCCAGCGAAACGGCAGGTTACTTTTATTGATGCATTTCATGGATTGAAGAAAAGGACTTTTTTTTTTTTTCTTCTTCTTCTTCTCTCTGCAACTGCAGTGAGGGACGGGAGTTGGATTTACCTCGCCGAGTACCTCCTGGGTTGGCACCATCATCATTGTTTATCGCTGTGCTCGGAACGCCCGCCGACTGTGCCGATGGCTCCCCTGGGTGAAGTTGGGAACTATTTCGGCGTGCAGGATGCGGTGCCGTTCGGGAACGGGCCGGTGTTGCCGGTGGACAGCCCGGTCTTGCTAAGTGACCACCTGGGTCAGTCCGAAGCAGGGGGGCTTCCCAGGGGACCCGCGGTCACGGACTTGGATCATTTAAAGGGGATTCTCAGGAGGAGGCAGCTGTACTGCAGGACTGGATTTCACTTAGAAATCTTCCCCAACGGTACTATCCAGGGAACCAGGAAGGACCACAGCCGGTTCGGTAGGTGCACCGTTAACCCTTGAGGGCCCAGGCTCGGACCGCAGCTGCCCAGAAGGCGGCCAGGAGCGGGCGGGGGATGCGGGAAGGGGTCTGCCTCCCTCGGGCTCGGCCTGACTCGGTCTCGTTAGCTCCAGGGGAGAAAAAAACCTCTGGAATTGCAGACCTGCCGCTGGCACTGATGCGGGTCTACACTGAAAGGCTTTTTTTTTTTTTTTTTTTAAAGGAGGGCATGATTTATAAATATAACACATACCTCTAGTTCTTTTGCATCAGATAGGCGGGCAAGATCGGGTTTAGGAAGTTTCTTTTGAATGGACTGATTCCACGAGTTTCAAGCTTTAATCATTAACCACGGAGAACTTAAAATGCATTTTGCTCAAGGCAGTGGTTATCATCTCGTGCCAAATGAAGTTTTTGCCCCTTCCCTCTATTCCTCCAAGAAGTGTCCTGCTTAAATTGTAAATGAAGCGTATTGCTGATTCCCACCGGGGAATGGGACTGGGGCGCTTTAGGCGAAGGTTGCAGATTGTTCCGTGGGAGGAGAGACTGAAGTCGTATTTCTGACTCAGGGGCTGCAGGGGCAGGGCGCAGGGGGTGGGGGAGCGGGTGG